TAAATAAAATTGAAATGCTAGTAGTAAACTTACTTTGCTTGACTTAGGAGTTCGATCTGTAGATTTTGTTCCAGATTCATTGACTTTGGTAGTTTCTTTGCACTTACGACTTTTTTCTAATCGCTGAAAAGAAAGTTCGAAGATTCTAGCATATCTTATAGGCACGTATTATGACTAGAAAATTGACTTTATTGTATGATCAAATGATTGAGATGGTAAAGAATAACAAGTTGCTTAAAAAACTGATTCTTCAAATCCCAACCGAATAGATTTCAGAAGCAGGACCAAGAACTAAACTGAATATACATTAGCAAATTAAAACTTTAGTATGCCTACACAATAACTAACGGAGGTGATATAAATTACCAGATAACAAATGGTTGATAAGTAATAAAAGCGGAAGTTAAAAAAAAAATACGATTCTTTTTCCCGTTATATTAAATACAAATATTTAACTGGCTTTTTTGACGTAAAAAAGGAAATTTTTCAGTCGATTGAGAAGGGATAAAGCCGATATGACATATTATTCGGCTAGGAATCTAGATAGTAATTCTGGATAACATACATAAGTCCAAAATCGCATTTTAAATAAATATGTATTTAGGGCTTAGTGAGTGTCCCGCATCTGCTATTCATCTAACTGCGTTGATAGGTGTTAATCAAGGCGACAGTAAGTATTTTGTGATTTGTTTACTTCGGAAGTTTAAATCATGTGTACGGTTTTGTGTCAACCAGCAAATATAAAAAACTAAACGATGCTGTTCAATCGTCTAGACAAAACACAACACGACGGCTTAGTCAAGTATTCGAATAGGCACTTTGTAGATCTGATTGTTTCGAAAAACTTTTTTATGTATTTTTAAAACAATTAGTCCCTTTGATAAATTTCGATAATGCAATGAGAAAACGTAGTTTATCAGAATTACTACGTCTTCTCATTGCATTATCGAAATTTTTTATGTATGTTGGTAACCACTGTAACGTTAAAAATCGAAGAGCATAACCGAAAGTGTCCATCAATCTACTAAAGTGTGGTTAACATTGCTAGTTAAATTTAACTTTCAAGTTTTGGTGTTAAAGGTGACCACTTACTACGACTGTAATGATAAATGTTTTTATTTGTATGTCAAGGATCCACATAGTTTAAGAATAGTGTTTATTAATAAGTTGTAAGGAAAGCTGGAAATTCAGAGTTCTTTTACACCAGGAAATAATGAACGTTCTTATCAACTACTACATGATGAAAATATAGGAATAAATGACGGTGGACAATCGCGTACGTCAACTAACCATGAAATTTGAAGACCAACCGGATAAAATTATTTAGATCTAATGAATTGAATTCGGAACTCTTGTTTAGCGTGATACCTAGGTAATCAAAATACATTACATGGTTGGTATGTGACTGGAATTATTTATTAGCCCCCAAATGTCATGGTACGGCCGAGAGTGGGGAGAGTCAGCTCTCCCTCTTCAAATGCTCTCATATGGCCACGTGCGTACGACCACTGCCAAGGAAGTCCTAATCACTGCCTTTTTGCAGAGAGGGTGTTGTTTACGAAATTGAGAGGGTGAAAAGCGAATGTCCGGCGCTTTAACCAGGTTGGTGGATATAGGAGATCCACCCAGGAGAGTTGGAAAACCCTGAATCCGAACCAATAGTGCATATGGGCTCCAGAATCTTAAAGAAACAGACGGTATATGAACCTATTGTTGGTCACCGGCTACCATGGGACTGTATCTCCTCAAGTTACTCCACTGCTTTGTGGATTAAATCTTTTATTTATTTATTTAAACATATGAACATTGGTACAAGGAGGCACCAAATAAATTATTCGGTTTGTGTGAGAGCTGGGATACTACTCGGGTGCCCAAACCGAAGCAGGTGGTTTTCTTAGGGGGCCTTCGACCTAAGGGTCTGATGCACAGGGCAGTGGAGCAACCTGAGGAGACGCAGTCCCATGGTAGCCGGTGAACAACGATAGGTTCATACGCCACTTTTTCCTTCAGGATACTGGAGCCCATGTGCACCATTGGTTTGGATTCAGTGTTTTCCAACTCCCCTAGGTGGATCTCCCATATTCACCAAACCGGTTAGGGCGCCGGATAATATTTTGAGCAAGATCATACATTAGTTTTCTGAATACAACTGAATATAATAGTGTTGATGTTAGAAACTATTGGGACAATCAGTCACAACGTACAACCTTGTACGTATATATTCAAGTTGCACTACTGCATTAGCACATTGTCAGACCGAATCCAAGAATAAGAAAGATAGTAACAGTATTATTGGTAGTAAAAAGAATAGGCATCGAAGACACGATCCGAGAAAATATAAACTAGTGAGATAAAAACAAAAAAACAAATCAAGAGGGATTTAGAAGCTCAGAATTCGAGAGAACATAGAGAATGGATGCAACAGAACCATTGCAAAAAATTTTGAGCCATGTCATTCAAAGTCCTTAACCATTGGCTGTGATAACCACGCGGACCTCAACCACGTATTGTACCTCACCGACTTCATGGACTGATGCCATATTTTCGTTTGAACGTCCCTAACTTTCTTCCAGCCGACTTGTACACCAGATATCTCCTAACTTGATACCTTGATAGGCAGTGGTTGGGTATGCGTAACACATGTCTCAACCACGTCGGCTGATGAGGATTTTCTACCTCACCAACTGACAAGCCATCCTTACCTAGTACCCTATCCCCAACCCAGACATTGCTTACTCGGTGTTCCCAAAATACACGAGCAGTAGTTTGAAGACATCTATGGTTGAATACCAGTAGCCTACGAATGTCTTCTGTTTTTTTAATGAGCGTGCTTCACATCCATAGAGTGGAGGAGAACAGACTGCTGTGCAGTAAAATTATCCTTTGTTTAACAGGTGATCATGTCGCCTACTCCATAAGTGATGTAAGTTGGCAGTAGCCAACTGAAGCTTGTGAAACCGTGCCGACATCTCATCAAACACTCACTGATAAAGGCTGATATGACTCCCGAGATAAGTGTAGTGATCGACACATCCAACTACTTTACTCTCTATCACTAATTCAGGCGCTGAAGCAAGCCAATCTTGAAGGCCACATAATGTATTTGGATGGAGAGAACCGCGCCCCAAATATGCCAGCATTATTAAGTTGGTTAGACTGGAATTTGTCGGCATCATCAACCAGAACTACATCATCTGAGTATTCCAAGTCAACAAATGAGTCGCCTGGTAGATTGATATCTGAAAAGTCAAGTGATGAAAATGTTACCTCCTCAAGCACGTCTATGACAAAGTTTAATAAAAATTGGGGAGGCGGACAACCTTGACGAATATTCTTCCAATGACAGTTCTCCATAAGCTCTGAATCGACCAGTAGTGTTTAAGTAGGGCCTGTGTGGAAGGTTAACGTACTTCGTTGAGAAGCTTTTCAGTGGCAGATACTGCCATAGTACCTAAAGATTAACAGAGTAGAAGGCCTTGAGGTCAAGGAATACTTTTTTGACGTCGAAAAGTATTTCTGTTCCACAACCTTCCGAAGGATGAATACTCGGTTTTTACAATCACGTACATGTATGAAACCAGCATGATATTTTCAAGTTTGCTCTTTAGAAGCTCTAGTTAAACACTGAAGTATAAATGAGGCTAGTATTTTAAACGCTACATTAGTTAAACTGATTCCACTATGATTGTCACAATAGGAATGGAATCCGATATCTAAAATTATATTTTGATTTAGATATGAAACGGTCGATAAATAATCAAAACAAACCCTTACACACCAGTGTACAGACAACTAAATATAATGATTTTTAGTTAGTGTACGATAAATACATTCGACTTGATGGATATATCACGAGTAAAGCCTAAAAAAAGTATCAGCGAAAAAATATCATTGAGGGAAAACTAGTGAAGAATGTCAGAGTACATGTAAACTCACTGATAAGTTGAGTTAACATCAATGATTACACAAAATTATCTGGAGGTTGAACGTTAAGACAAGATACATTAAAAAGAATATGTAATAATTAGCAAAATTTTGAATTCACCTGCAAGGGATCATCAAAAATGCCCAATTGATCACGGAGATATTTGCGTTTTTCAGCAATATCAAGTGCAGGCCACTGCGATCTCAGCTCATCCTCAAGCATTTTCTTATCTAGCTCTGGATTTTTCTGCATACGTATTTCCAATTCATCTTTCAAGAAAGTAGATAGCGATTCTGCTTCTTCTTCTATCGTCAAAGGAACATTGCTCATCAATTCTAGAAGCTCCCCTAGAGAGATGTAAGTTACTGGGCCTCAATTACCTTCTTCAGCTTTGTCTAACCTTCTAGATTTCTGTTTTACAGAAATCCGACCGAACCTTTCAATCCTTTCGTTTACTGTAAGGTTCATCGCCACTTCGGCTTCCTTCCACGACTGGATCCAAATGCTTTTGTTACTTGAAACAGACTTGCTCTCAAATTTAATCTTTTCCTATAGCACAAAATAAACAAAACCCACTCACACTTACAGATTTATCTTTGGTTGTGCGTAGCTTCTCTTGAACATATTCATCGAAATTTTTTTTGCCGGAAAACGGAATCAGATTATTAGCAGATACCCAAGCTCTTTCTACTAAAGGTCCGAGGAATTGCACATGATATATGAATGAACGCCCTGAAAATTCAACTAACCATTAGACTGTAACAAACCTTTCTCCTTTACATACGAGTCTCCATCAGGTGAATGATAAACCATACAAGGCCACCAAGGATGTGAACCGACCTTCGCCCAAAATATGTTACCCACCTGGTAATCATCAGAAATGCTAGGCATAATTTAACTATCAAGGATCAAGATAACGCACAATTCACATTCCGCGCTTAAGTTCAAAATGCAAAGCTGCACTTTTTTTACTAAAGCAAAAATAATGTGATTTAAATGAAAGAACATAATCACGTAATTTTTTTTAACTGAGATATTTTTGTGCTTATCGACATGACGATAAAACACCGCACATTTGAAGTTTGATGGATTGCGTTTCGGGATCGGGTGGTTGCTTCGTCAGCTTCGCAACTTCCTGGGGTAAAAGTCATCCACCGGAGAATGTTCTTGATAAAAGGAAAGGTTCATTCTGGATTACTACCGGTCTGTTTCCTCAGATGTTGGTTATATCACTCGATCAACCAAGGAAAGTCAGCCAAATCAAGATTGTTACTAGCAGGGTCAAAGCTCTCTGCGTATGTATTCAGAATAATATTTATTTTAGTTTACCAGCTTTGATTTAGACGATCAGTCTGAACTTTTGACCGTTAAGAGTTTGGACATGAGGTTAATGACAATATATTATCATCTTTACTATACGTGGATGTCAACCTCAAGTGCTATTGTTTATTGTTACTGAACTGATCATTACTGATGTGATCTCATCCTCAGCTATGTCTTTAAGACCAGGGAAGCGTATCTTGAATAAAGATTATTTGTGCTGATACAATGATCGTGTGTTGTTGAACTATCTTTTGGCCAAGAAAATCCAATTTTCAAACTAAAGTCCGCGTAGGTAATGTTGTGGTACTGATAAGAATGGTGATACGTATATGAGAGTGTCATTTCGAATCCTCAGTAAGGCTATAACAAGGTTATGTGCCCAGGACGATTGACGAACATAAATACAAGGCAATTTTTACCGCTTGCTTAAAAAATAAACTGGTTTTTAAGTCAAATAAAATTGAAATGTTAGTGGGTTAATGAGTTAGTCCAATACACGTATCCGCAATAGAACCTTTTTAAGCAAACCTATAAGAGTTCATCGCTTCCTTATCAGTTGCCAGAAAGGCCTGACAGAATTTTTCTTCGTTTTACGATTACTTTTTTTTCATTTACTACAAAGTGTATTCCTGATGTTTTAAAGCTTAATCTTAAGGCAGTACAAAGTTAGAATTTAAAATCTATGTGAGAATACAGCATCATATATCAATTATTGTGGAGGACCTAAAACTTAGTCAATAAATGTACTGTTTCTCATTAAGTATTTCCTGCTGATTTCTTTCTTGAAACTAAATGGTTATGATATGTCTCGTTTCACGATTAAAGTAATAAGCGTGGTGTTGTACACTCTACATTGATAACCTACGAATATCACGGGTAGTACCAGCCAATATATATCAAGTTCATTTTTTGTGTTTGACCTTAGATTTCATTGGGTAACAGAGTGAGAGTGAAGTGAAGTTCGTTGTCTTACAATTTCTTGTAATTTCTGTCCTGAGCTTTAAGGTTTAAATATATATTTCGTACCGCCATACTGTGATACTTATGCTTAAAATTTCTACTTTGTTGGTGGTTTTATTGTTTTCGTCCTTTTTCTGTATCTAGATATACTCATATTACTTAATTTCTAACTATTTAGCACCTACATTAAAAACATGTTTGTACCATAGTTAACTAACCCCTAGTGACCAGATTAAAGGGTATTTGTCTATAAGATCACTTATTGCGCTTCATATTGTTGTATGATAGCAAGTAGATCTGCAGAATCTGGGTAAATTCATCTTGTTTTTTAAGGAACAAGATTTGTTGAGGACAATTTACTATATTCGTTAGCAAGCACATTAGTTACGCTAAGTTAACTAGGGAATTTTTTATGTCCATAGAGTCCATTTTTTTCCACGTAAAGGCGAGTGAATTTATAGAGAATAGTAACTATTCAAACATGATTATCATCGGAAAAGTTCATACTACTGAGTATTATTAAATAGATCGAGTTTCTGACTAAAATATTGGTGATTTTGTTCTGTTCTTACTTTGCTCCTGGTAAAATTTGTGTAAACTTTCTCTTAAAATCTTTTCGTATCTCGACACTCTAAGCTATGTAGGATTTGATAGTTTTACCAGAGGTTGAATGGTAATGTTTATCGACAATATAGAGCAGCAAATGTTCAAACGTGAATTGTACTTGAAATGGTACCACCTGGCTTTTTAATAAACAAATTCTAACAAAGTTTAGTATATGAAATCCTATAAATGCTTTGTAATAAGCCATGTTAAACTGTGGAGATAAACAATATGAGTTTAAATTTTTCAGTCTCTCTGGATCCGAAATTTACGTCTATGCGGTACTCACCTTTTTAAAACAATTCTCTGATAGTAACTATTAGTGTTTATTTCAGTTTTTTCCATAGCTAGCAAAAATCAACTCAACACGTTCATAAGTGTACAGTCTGCTATAATATCGTGATAGCTCAGTACAAATCCTTCTCATATAGGCGTATATCCCATTAACCTTTCTTTGATAATCTTTATTGCATTATAAACTTTTAATGGATGAGATCAGTGCTTATTCCCACCAGTTCTAATGCTTATCAAAGTGCTAAAACTCGTTTTGGAAATTCCACAGATCAGTTGGAAATTAGTTGTATAAACTTTTAATCTTCAGATTCACATGCAGGCATTTAGTGGTAAGTCTTTCACATCACATTGCCTTATGAATTTATTAGCCTTCATCATTTTTAGCTGTCACGTGTTCAAGTAACCAAATAAGTCACTGAAGAACATAAAGGAAATTTAGCAAAGAAAGATTTCTGATCGATAATATTATTTACTAAACCTGTACAATCATTTTGATTTTGTAAATCGCTGAATATGTGGAGACTTCAAATATTAAAGGACAGATGTGTAGTGATCTAGACGTCAACAAAAGAAAGAAAGTTTAAAAACAATGTTCTGAGAACATTACCCAGGCTGTAGTGAACGAGAGTTCAGATGGAAGAAAACCAATTTATTGTTCAATGAAGCATCACAGTGGTTTAGTAAAATGTGAACATTATACATCAAATACATCGTTTGGACATCTTTGAATAGTCGCTCTCAAGTCTCGTTGTTCCTTCATTCCTGTTGTGATCTTGGCTGCTTTCAGTTTCCTTCTTTCTTCATTTCTTTTCAATCTTCTCAACCTTCTGCTCACAAGCATTTCATTTCCGACTGGTGTTGCACACTACCTATATCTGCGGTTATAAATAGCATACATCGCAGGGGTAATGTGTATAAGGAGAATCCAAAATAATCAGCAACTCAAGACAGAAGCGTATCACCAACCCCGAGCACGTTATTCCACCAGAATCATCGTTCAAAACTATCTATTTGGTTAAACGAGTGTGATCAAAAGATCAAACCAAAAAGTTTCGCACTGTTGATGCTTTAGAAATTCGCCCATTCAAGTTCATACTCTGAGTGCAAAACAACGCGTGTAGTCTCGTATTCTCCCGTGGCTATAACATTCTAATACGTCTAAGTTTCCTGTTATACGATTACGTTTTACTTTGACAATTAGTAACCAGTTGTTATCTCAACAAAATTTTTTCTAATTATTATTCAACTGTTATTGTCACCTTTACAATTTTTATTTCTTTATATCCATCAAGTTGACAATTATCCCACTTATTTCTGGCCCATGAACTGTTTCCACTTTTATATTGTTCATTAACCCCTGGTGTTAGCGGGACAGAGATAGGATTAAAGCATGCTCAATGTACGACTGTTTTGGGGCACGCTGATTGGCTAATTCATATCGGATCAGCGCTAGTCGATGCTTGGAGAACACTTTAGAAATCTCATGTAAAAACTATAAATATACTAACGTTTTTCCTACTGTGCTTCTTAGTTTCGTCTAACCTTGTTATTTGAAATATAATCTCTTTCCTGTTCAACCGTGTTCTGATTTGGGGACTTGTCGAGTGAATCGGTGTCCGAAAATACTAAGCAATAGGAATAGCTGGGTTCTAACCATAAGAGAGAATTATAACACCTGGATAATACTTGAAATCTCCAAATACTTCATGATATAATTTCTTTTCACAATTCTATAGACTCACTTTATTTATTAAATCATGATAAAGGCGACTGTAAAGACTTTGTAAATAATATTGTCGAAAAAAATTCCTTTGCTGAATCCCTTCATTATTTGTTCATTGAACTTCACCACTCTTTTCTATCCTGTTAAAAAACAATTATGTTTATCAATAACTGTTTTTTGGAGATTACGTCAAGTATCTAACTTTAAAAGTGGCTTGGATCAACAATCAATGACATGTCAATAACATGTAACCAGTAGAATAGTGCTTAGTCACACTACACCCCAATTTTTTTGGAAATTTAGCATCATCAAATAAATCACTTTGAAGCATTAGAATTCGGATTAAAGTATATTCAGAGAAACAATTTGTCTAGCTTTTTTCTCACCTACCGTTTAGTACTTTTAGATCTATATTGATGATTATATCTAGAAATCATACTTAAAATTTAAATAATTCCAACGTTCCCTTCAGGGTATTGGTATGAAGAAGTCCAGATAAATTTACTGAACGAAACGTTGGAATTATTTAAATTTCAATCGCTGAGATTATTTCAAATATAATTTTCACATATAATGGCTTCTCTATACTCGGAGCCCAGTTTTTGTCAAATTATTCGTTCTAACATTGACGAATATTTGTATATATTGATGGTTGATTATCTGTTAATCAGCCTTCTTTAAAAGTAAGTATTCGGTCAAATGTTATTATTCTCTAACTCATATTATTTAATATGATTGGATTGTGGATTTTTGATGATATTATTATAACCGCCTATTTATCCAATATATTTGTCACATTTACCTATATATTCAGTGTAATGTAACCATTTTTTAATTCACTTCCCATATTTCATATATGATTTTTATTCTCGTCCTGTCAAACAGGTTGAAACTAGTTCACATACAGAACCAGATAATTTTACATTGAAGTTCGAAAAAACTTTACCTCATTCAGATGGACAACTACAAATTACAGAACTACCAATCAACGATACTCATTTACATCATGTTCGATTAAAAATACTTTCTGGTTACAATCACTTTGTTGCCGTTTATAAAGTGTTATTTGATGGAAAATAATATAGGGAAAACATCTATCTCTCTCCCTCTCTTTCTTTGTATGGTTAAGGTTTGTTTGTTGAATATTCAGTTTTATAATTCATGAATTCAACCATCATCATCAACACCAATCATTTTATTACATGTACAAAATCGGGATGCACCTTTTTTAAAATTGACTTGGAACATCTTTTTCATTAGGATCAATTGTTAAAATTCAATAAATATAGAACAATAATAAACCGTGTAAAATTTAAATTAAAGTTTGTGTAAATCGAATGGTTTTCTTTTACATTTAGTCAGTATAATATGATTCTGAATTTCGGATTGAAATAACATTGAGTTTGATGTTGATTGTGATATATCTGTAATCTCATTATCAAAAATTTGATGTATATATGTACACTTCATCTGCACGTGTATCCGAGATCTGAAATTTTTACACTTCTTTTACCTAGGATAGATATCTTCACAGTGTAATGTGACATCGTTTAATCATCTTTTAGATTTACAAGAGTGAAATTAATCATAAACTAAATAGAGTATCTATACCAGTAGGAAAAGAATCATTCAGTCAATTAACGACCTTAGAATTTTGTATGCTGTATTCCTTAAATATTGATCTCAGTTAATGTAATGTTGGAAACTAGGAGGCACTAAATAGCTGTTTTGTAGCAATATGAAATCTCTCATCTTTACACACCCTCTTCATCAGGGATCGAAACCAGTATTTTCATTTCTCACGCTAAACACTTAAACATTGGAAACACTGAGTGAGCGTTCAATGACACAGTGTTAACTTCGACCAATTTAGGTCATAACACAGTGATCACCAACCAACACTGATGACAACTGTCTCTCTCCTGATGTCTAAATTCTACCAGTCACAACCACTCACTGGAAATCTAGGAAAATCTTGACGTCAATCACGAGTAATTGGACTGTTATGGTTTAATTAATAGGGTTGTCAAATGAAAGTTATGTATACCATTGAAAAAGTACTGAAATTCACTTATTTGACTAGTATCATAAAATTCTATACTTTAGTTTGTCGTATGGTGAGATAGATTAGGATGTTTGTTAAATTTATATTGCATAACAATTTATACAATAAATAACTGACAGATTAACACAATGTCTCATTACTTGCTGAACGACATTCTCAACTCATCATCAATTTATGTCATTTCTTACGCCACTAACATAACGTTCACTTATCCATTTCGTTACCATACTTATCACAAGATTTTCTAAGTTTTAGAACTGCAAATCAAAATATCAGATAGCTAAATGAAAACAGAAAACGTTTATAAGTTAGACTTATAACCTATGTGACTACTGATGTAACATAGAAGACGATAATGTGCTACAATTTCGAGAGTCTCAACAACTGTATATTTAAGGCATTTAATATAAATCTTAATAATGGATTTATGATTGATTGATTCATCATAATCTATTAAAAAGGTATACCGCTACTACGTTTATCGTTTTTTTTTAAATGAGTTATATGAATAAAAGCCATCGATTCCAAATATATCATTAACTACTCTAGTCGATGAATATCAAACTTTAATCTTATATTTTAATACTGCTTAAATTAATCTAATTGAGAACTGTGTCCGAACAATAACATGCGGCTGAAGACAAAATAGATTCAGTTCGTAGTAGATTTTATTTACCAACATGTTCGGTTAAAATACACTTTGTTGATTGATGATTTCCATACAGCAAATTAAAAATCGTCCATGGAGTAATGTACAAACGGAAACATAAAAGCAAACTAGACCATCAAGACTTGATAGTGTAGTTAATCACAGAATAATTTGCCAGATGAAGTTTAGTCATGTTGTTATATTCAAACGAAGAAGAGCTGAATGATAACTTCTACGAATTATTTTGAACAATTATTACACATATTCTTATTAGATAATTATTAATTAACTAAATTATGTATATATTCATATTCCTTTTATCATAAACTTTCATTTGACCTATCGACAACTGTAATACTATTTACCATTCTTAAGTTTTCTCAATTAATCCGTTACACCATCCCACACGCAGCCACTTGACTTGATCCTGGGGGTTTGGTCTGCTTGTATATAAACCAAACATGTCAGAAATATACGATTCACCCAGGTTACTGGTATTTGTGTTTTGGACTGAATGGGCGAAACGTTAATATGCAGAGGACCAATAAGGGCTCAGAGCTGACTCAAGGCTGCTCGTGCTGGTTCACATATTGTTGGTTTAGCACAGGGACAAGGTAATAAATCGGTGTTTTGATTTGTGATTCTGTCACGTGATATTTTACCGAGCTATAGGACATTGCCAAAAGTTAACTCATTGTTTAGTTATATATTTCATTCACATAGTACTTACTTATTTGCGCCTGTCACCACTCGTGGAGAAGCGTAGGCTGACCACTACCATTCTCCATCCAACTATGTCCTGTGCAATCCTTTCCAGTTGCTATTCATCCTTTTGATGTCTGATTCCAATTTCCGACGTAGTGTGTTCTTTGACCTTCCTCTCACTCAAGAAGTAGCGTGATAAAAGGGTGTTTTCAAAAAAGTGTGACTATTATATGAAAACCGGTAGGTCTGATGTGCCACAACTTCAAATGAAATCTCCAGCCAATTACTCAATAGCATTTCTTAATGGAAACTATTTTCGTGATAGTGAATTTAGTAAAAACCGCTTAACTCTGACTAGAGACCGGATTTGAGTCACGAAGGGAACATCAGCCCTGAGATGTAAGTACCCTCAGCTGATAAGTCTCAAAACGAACGGAACGCGCACCCTGGATTCCACTATCCATCTCTGTTTATCATACTTTCTTCTCAGTTGCATCATCTTTAATTTATCAACAGTAAAATAATAGTGCAACCAGATGACGATATGGAATTTTGTTAAATACACAATACTGTTGCATAATTCTGTTGTAGGTGGGGATCTATCAACGAATGAAAACAGAAAATCCTAGTTATCTATTTTAGGATAAAGCATTCACTTATTTGAAATTTATACTTTTCAATGACTAAAAAACGAAATATTATGGTTGTTACGCTCAAAGTTTACTCAGAAAATTTCCACTTAACACTGTATTTTTCATTTATTAGAAAGTAAAAATCTCTAATAATAATTAATATCATTTGCTTAGTGTCCAAATTTTCACAAAACATGAAATCTGGAATTGATTTGAATATTTAGAATTTTCCTGTTACACATTTCTGATACAATAAAAAAGAAACAAAATTTTCTGCGAAATATTTTGCTTGAAAAAGAGATATTTGAAAATGTGCACTACCAAATTCATAGGGTAAAGATTAATGTAAATGAAGTGGTTATTAGTATATAACAAGACACTATATATCAACCCAGCAGAGATCGTCTGAGAGAAACACAAATAAATTGAGTTTTAATTTTACCAAATTATTCGTAGATTTGCTATATATATTTGTCAGTTGACCAGTTATAAGAAACCTTTTATCTGAACTCCACAGTTAGATAAAACGAAAATATTTTCTATTACAGATACCAGAAGCCATTATCAGTATCCCTGATATTAGTAATTGGTAGGTTTCGTCTCTTTTTAAACAAGTTCAACTAACAAATTTGTATTCTTCAATTTCTTGTCATATTTATAGCTTTTTCCTGTTAACTTGTCACTGTTCACGTAGATTTCTTTATTTTAACAATTCGAAGTTTTACAATTTTAAAGATCAGTGTTGAACCATAATTTATTCTAAGTATTGCATGTAAGTATATAGGATGAATACCTTATCAACTGTTCTTACACATTTTTATGACTGACGTTCTATCTAGTAAATGAGTTATCAATAACTGAACATTCCTTCTAATGAGATCTAATATTTAACTGAAGTATATATACTCTGGGATTTTAAATACACTCGACTGAATACTGTGACTTGTATGCTTACTCACAACGTTCAATGATATTCGATAGAGTATATTATTTTGCTCAACTGGGTCAATGGGATACGATATACTACATAGTTTGCAATGTGTATGAGTTTGTGGGTTTGATTGTTTTACTAATTTTATCTGTACTAAGTTTTCCATCTAAAATCTTAAATATATCTCCTTATCATAGCAACATCTAAAAAGTAATGAATTTTTTATTAATCTTATTTCAATTAATGCTAATATTACTACGTGCTTTTTTTCTTGATAGTTCTTCGGAACTTCCTGATTATAAAATCGCAAATTACAATATTCGACAGGATACTGAGGTTTTAGGTCATTCTAAGTTGTGGAAAAGTCATGATAAAAGGCTTAATTATTAAAATCACGAATGTAAATGGTAAACAATGGAAACTAAATAGGAAAAAGAAATAAAAAGCAACCATGAGGAAACAGTTCACTCTAATTGATTTGGATTTTTTTTAAAAACTGATAATAATTTTTTTGGTCAAAATCAACTCTCATTATAAAGGGAGGGATTGTTTGAATTGGTGGAAATGAATTTAACTTGATAATCTAGATAGTTCTTATGGTGATACAAGTCACCAATGGACGATATTTGTTCAGAAATAATGCTTCTTTCTACTTGTTTATTGTCAAGTAATGGACTGGTTTATGATTCTGTAAATCTAAAATGAATTAAGTCAATTTGTATTTATTTTAATCATTATAACGGCTTAAATTTATTTACGATTGAGTTCCTTTGACAATTCACGAAACCTGTGTAGCGAAGCGTCGAGTCGCGGTTGACTATGAACACCGCTACCAAGAAACACGTGCCAAGTAAATCAGAAGGCGAAGGTTGAACGTAACCAAATAAATCCATAAAATCCCCGAGAAGCCAAATATCAGAAGGCAGTTAATGGACCAAGTCGCGATATATTTGCTGGCGATCTTGTGGTATCGAAAGGATACCGAGATCGTGCCAGGATACAAGCTTGGTTACAGAACGTAACCGAATTCGCGCGAAGTCACAATCAAAGTGTAAGTATAAGAATGGAAGCACAAAATAGCTATCATTAGCACAGTCAAGCAAAAGCACATTAAAACAAACACTGGTACAGTTGGTTATAATAATAATTGTTTTTATTAAACCAGTCGTGTTCTCGTGATAAATGTGAGTCACTACACCTGGAAAAAAATAGTACCCTGATTAGACTGCAGTAGAAATAGGAACACAGTTCCTATTTTATTGAAATATTATCAGAAGAATCATATTTATAGAGTGAATACGCGTGTGATTGGTTTAAGAACACATTTTAACCGATAATAGTTCGATATACATGAAT